CATTTCCTCCCTATACCTTAAGTTAAGGAGTGAATGTTCCCCCTTCTTTTACACCTCTTCACCTTTGACCTTTGACCCCCAGCTTCGACATCCCAACTCGTTTTGACGATCCCCCCCAACGACCCGAATATCGTGACCGTACGTCGAGCGGTTAAGATTTGTGCCCAACTGTTGACGGACGGACGGACGGACGGACGACCGGACGGACGGACGGACGGACGACCGGACGGACGGACGATCATGCGATTCTACAAGCTGCATCTGACTATGTCAGATGAGCTAATAATAGTAAAAAAAATAGTAATTTTTTTCAATTTTTAACTTTTTCAATTTTTTTTAATGAATGTAGTAAAATTTATTTTTCACATTTTTGAAATTAACGCTGAAGTGGCAGAAGTAGATACTAAAGAGTAAAAAAGCAAAGGAGAAATTTTTTTCCCCGAGCTCCTATACGCTACGGCGACGGGAAAGACACGCTAAATGATTCCCACATACCTACGTGATTGAATTTTGACTTTTACAATTTTTTTCTACTTTTTAACTTTTTTAAATTTTTCTCTCAGCCAGAACCATCTCCCAGACGTGGTGATTCTGAATATAATTTCAGTTACCGCGATTGAGTGACAAATCACGGAGAACATCGAAGTCAAACAGACACACACACACTCACACAAGATTAGCTGCTTTATAGTAAAGGTATCATTTCAGTTGCCTTTCGAAACCGGGCGCCATTTCAGTTGCCTTTCGAAAACGGGGCAGCATATACGGAGGTCAAAAAGACGGAGTAACAATAAGGTGGTCTCTGGTCCCTCCCACAATAATCGTTTGAAGTTTTATTATACCAGGTATCACAGTTCCAGCATTCTAGATCCAGTTTCAAATTTTGCACATATAATTAAGACACAATTATGGACGAAGTACGCCCCCCCCCCCTTGTGGCCGGGTTGTGTGTGTATATATATATATATTATATGCGTGTTTTTTTGTCGTCCGTATTCATGGCAACGCGCGAATTGTGTGAATCATTCATTTTTGATTATCTTTAACGCATTGTATTTGTTTTTGATTATTTGATTCTATTCCAATGTCTGCTGACCTGATGAAGAGATGTAATCTCGAAAGCTTGTCAATTAAATTGTAAACACTATTATTCTATACCTTGACTTTGTTTTTATCTACACGGGTGTTCGTGTGTGACTTTACTACTATATATAATATACTATATATACTATATATACTATACACTATATACTATATACTATATACTATATATACTATATATTATATATATATAATAATATATATATATATATATATATATATATATATACGTTAAAGTAGAGAGAGAGAGAGAGAGANCCGGAGATCATCTTCATCGCAAAGCCGTATCTGTCCCTAATGCGTCTCGTCAATTGATGCGACAATGTCTACGAGAGAATGAACGTAAAACTTAAAGACTGTGACGGCAGGGCCGAAATAATTTCTTCAGCTGCAATCTCTAAAAAGACTTGTACCATCGAATATGTCGATTTTCCATCACAGATTCGCCGAAGATGGGTGAACCACTTTAGCTAATAGTGATTGGTATGATCATTTGAAGAAGATAGAAACATGCAAAACTGCGATCAACTGTTATCGTTAGACAAGAAGCCTTAGATATTCGCAAATTATTCACACCCGAATGCTCGTCGTGTGTGTTCTACCTCAACTCCCAATGGAGGAATGAGCGTGTCGTGCTTAAGTCAAGAGGTTTCGAAACTTTTGTTTTTCCCAATGCAAACTCCAGAATAGATCAGCTACAATACCATGCGAAGATGTGGAGAGTTTCTTCCGCCGCCTTCCGCCTTATGAAGTCCGCTTCGCGATCGCCGGCCATTCGCCTATGGATAAAACAAATTGGTTATTCCAGAACTGCCCGGTGATATAGACTCCTGAAGTTCAAAATTCTTGTCAAAAACTTAATTAGCATCATTGATTAGTAATAACGATCTTCCAAATAGGCTTCCAATCCTCCTTGTTGAATAACACTAAAGCGGTCAAGATTTGTAATCATGCTTCGCAAAAAATACCACTAGAGCATGAATACCACTCGCAGGACGTCCTAATAGTTTTCGCTTAACTCGGGCAGTTTCCACGACTGACACAGATCTCGCTTTCTTCAGAAGACTTGCTGTCACCGTATTGGTACACCACAAAACATATCGCTACCAACATACGCACAAAGATACGTCATCATGCTGCTAGGCATATTTGAGAATTTTCGTCTTTCACAATGATACAGATAAATTCATATTCACATGGACATAAAATTTTATACACATGTGATACCATAATAATCAGGGTTTAATCGTTTTAACGGATATTAATTTTTTAGACAAGCGCGGTCTGATAAATTTTTCCGAATACTGATACCCTGAATACGTTTACCGAACTAGTTTGAACCAAAACAGGGTTTTAACTTTCAATGGGATATTTTATTCTCATGTAATGGCGTCAGCTATGGGTACGAAGATGGGCCCTGACGCTAGTGCGTGTCCTCATTTGTGCAGCTACATTGAAATCAAAATGTTTGCGATCCTTTTACTGGACCAGAACCTGAGCCTTTAATCTCGGCTATATTTGATGATGTTTTTGGAGGCCGCATTCTATGAAAGCTTTCCTGATTTTGAAAAATTTCATCGACGCAATGTCACATTTTCCTACCCGCCGTGTCTAAATTATACATAACTCTAACATCGGCTCTGATAAGTCTTCCCTTTTTCTGGACATGATTCGCTGTTATCTCTGGTATAAACTTAGTTACTCGGTGTTTTCTAAACCGCACTGACACCCATTCTTATCTTAATGTATTCTTCGAATCTCACGCCTTGCCCCATCTAAAAAAAAAAATAGGCCTTCCCGCATTCCTTAATTGTTAAGGCGATTAAAAAAGATATGCAGTCAAAAACTGATTTTAACACAAGCTTCCAACATTATTGAATGTTTTACACGCGTCGGCTATAATCAAATGCTGATATATCTAAGAAAATTAAAAAAGATACTTTCCCTTAAATCGGGCGGCGTTAATAACCCCTAAGAAAAAAAGGCGGTGAATAAAACAGTCAGACAGATGTCCATTTGGTTTAACCCTATCACCTTTCCAATCCCTGCAGATCAAAAGCTTTGTTAATTGCTAATTATAAAAATTCTTCAAGAACGATTCCCAATCACAGTTAACATGCGCTTTCAAGACCCACCTGTATGCTCGTAGGGCAGACGTGATACTCGGGCCTGCCGCGAACCTGCTTGTTTCAGAGCACCCGTTTACAAACTCTGACGAATCCCGTGAGCAAATACCTGACTCATTACCCGTGATTGATCGAAAACGGTGTGGCAGTCATTGCACATTTTATGCACTGAATAGGTCTGTGGTTCAAGGGCTTTTCGGGGCAAATTTATAGTGCGGGGATATACAATTTACCCCTGCGTGCGACAAAACCTCATGTTACGCCTTGAACTGCGTTAAAATGCCAAATTTACTATATGACCCGAAACAAACGCCGCCATTGCGAATAGGTTTGTTGAACACGACTAAGATCTTATTCAGCCTTAATATGCATCGGTTTGTCCGGTTGCTGACGCATTTTAACTGGCGGCAACCGGCATTACACATCATTGATGACGTGCGTGTATGTGGCTGCCAACTGACATCATATTACATAGCGTTCACGTCGACACGTGGCAACTGAGGCAGAAATTAATTATGAGGGTTGGTTGTTTATGAATGGCAGGGGGTCATAAACGTAAACTTGTAATTCGTGTGATTTTGAGTTCCATTGGCTCTGCGTTGTGTGGTGTGTGTGTGTGTGTGTGTGTGTGTGTGTGTGTGTGTGTGTGTGTGTGTGTGTGTGTGGTGTGTGTGTGTGTGACTGTGTGCTGTGTGTGTGTGTGATGTGTGTGCTGTGTGTGTGTGGTGTGTGGCGTGTGTGTTGTGTGTGTGTGACTGTGTGCCTGTGTGTGTGTGTGGTTTGTGTGTGTGTGTGTTGTGTGTGTGTGTGTGTGTGTGTGTGTGTGTGTGGTGTGGTTGTGTGGTGTGCGTGATTTGTGGGCATGTGTGTGTGTGTGTGTGTGTGTGTGTGATGTTTTGTGTGTGGTGTGTGTGTGTGTAATAATATATATATATATATATATATATAACATATATATATGCGTGTATCGTTTTGTCGTCCGTATTCATGCAACGCCTGAATTGTTTGTGGACTCATTCATTTCTTGAATCTATCTATAACGCATTGTATTCGTTTTTTGATTATTTGATTCTGATTCCAATGTTCTGACGCTGAATGAAAGAGACTGTTAAATCCTCGAAAGCTTGTCAATTTAATCTTTAAAACAACCCTTTATTCTAATACCCTTGACGTTTGTTTTTTTATATATATCAGGAGTTGAATTTAATCGACAAAATTTATTTGTCATTATTACTCGCTGATATATCTACTATATAATAGTGAGAAGGAGCCGAAGTGTCCCGTTTTCTCGTAAATCTGCCTCCGAAACGTTGCCGCGTTATTCTTCCCCGCGAATCGAGCTGGGGCACCTTCTGGACGTCCCGATAGATTCGCGCCTACGTTAGAACGCGATTTTTCGAAGGTAAACGTGACTGTTTTTGAGGTCAATTTTTCTAAAAAAGTTTTATGTGCCCGGAAGAAACTTTCGCATCCATCGGAAACCTCGGCACCAAAATTTTTAAGATCGCCAAATCCGTCATGCGGCAGCACACGCCGGCACTCAAAGCCATTGCGACGGCTGCGGTGTTAGAACAAAGCCAAGGCAACCAAAGCACTGCCGCGCACCAGCTGTAAGGCGAAATTTTAAGAGAAGACCCCAACGGAGACGGCTGCAGTTGTCTTGTGTGTGTGTGTGTGTGTGTGTGTGTGTGTGTGTGTGTTTGTGTGTGCGCGCCGTGCGTCGCGTGCCGTGCGCTGTGTGCGTTTTGCGTGTGCGTGGTGGCGTGTGCGTGATATGTGCTGTGCGCACTCCCGTGTGTGTAGTGTAAATGTGGTTAATGTGTGTGCGTGGGTGCGCGTGTGCTTGTGGCGTGGCGGCATGCCGCGTATGTGTGTGAATACGGTGCGTGCGTGCGTGCGGCGGCGTGTGGTGCAAACATTTGACAACGGGAGGTGTAACGGCGTGGGCGCTGCTTTACCCGGCTCCCAATGCTGCTGACAAATTTTAGACAGGCCGTATTCGATTGTTCATAAGAGCAACACACACACCACACTATATATACATAACCTTTATGAAATTGTGTTAAACTAATTAATCCTGTGTTTATCATTCACGGGTTTTAATGATAAATATGCTATACTAAATGTAGATTAAGGTATAATAATGACATTTAATTAGGTGGAGCTTCATCCTAGGCATAGCAAGGCCACACTAAAACTCACGCACGCACGAACGCACGCACGGCACAGCCATGCACGCCTACACGCGGCAACGCCGCACACGACGCACACACGCAAGGGCATTGCCGGCTGCGGTGTATAAACAGCCATCACTGCCGCGCACAGCTGTGAAGCGAAAATTTAAGACGTATGTGGTGTGCGCACAAGCGTGTGTGTGTGAATTGCCGGTGTGTGCGTGCGTGCGCGCGTCGTGTGTGATGTGTGTGTGTGCGCGGTGCTGTGCAAATATTTTGACAACGGGAGGTGTAACCCGATGCCCGCGCCGTCCAGCTGACCTTTCAGAAAATAAGATCTTCAAAACTACTCCAATGCATTGGCTTTTTTTTTTAAGAATTTGCAACTTATAAATGATGCCTTCTAACCCGAATGATATTTTTCAATAAATACACCAATATATAATAAGTGAAATTGACTATGAAATGCCCTATTTCCCTTTTATTTGAAAAATTGTAAGGTAATTCTTAAAGGTAAAATATTGACTATATGACTCGAGTCTATAATATTCAGTATTTTTTGTTGTACTGTAAATATCAATCGCTCAACTAATACAGTGAGAAATAGATGGTTAAAACCGCCATCCTCAATCAGTCGCGCCACTCAAACCCGTCTACGTCTTAGCGGGTAATAGCTAGTATGTATATATTCATATAATATAGCAATTAAGCTAAATAGTCAGGTCCCTTGGTGGGCAAAATATTGGACTGAATCGTTTAGCAGGAGTGACAAAAGTCTCAAACACTTGGGCACATGTTTGTAGCTTATGGCAGTTTCTTAAACATACATTTTATTATTAATTCATTAATTAGAGGGGGTCACCGCCAATGGCAGATATTTCTTAGAAGTGAAATTGCAATGATTAAAGGGGATCGTTTACTCTATGTCTATGGGTTATTTTCAAGTTAATTTAGGTTAAAAATTACGCTACATAAAAAGTTTTATGGTTCATCCAGCCATTACGAAATATTTTTTTTTTTATGTTTTTTAGAAATTCTACACGACTACAGGTTTGATTCACAAGCGACGGATGGCGCCAACTCAACGCGCATGATGCTGATGAGTTGCGGCAAAGCACTTTCAGGCCAAGGGCTAAGGACGCAGGGTGTTTCTTATTTATTCATTTAAAAGCAAAAGGATTGTAATAAATGCTTATAAAACGACATATAGTTTCAGTTACTAATATGGATAAATTTGCCCTAAAATGAATATCGCTCGTTAAATTAGCATGTTAGCGTAATAAATTATAATTGCACTTTTGTGATTAAGCCATCGTCTGTAACGTTGCAAAAATAAATTGTCTAAATACGCAACTTTTTAACGGGGTGGCAGCACGGATCGCGGGTGGTCATGGGCGCCGCTTTAAATTTCGGTAGCGTTGATTGTGTAGATTAACTTATAACATTAAATTAGGTATCTGGAAACCAAATACGTGTGGGTATAGACAGATTTGTTATACAGTAAGTAGAATGTTGTATGCAGTAAAATCCTAGAGTCTACTATCCCTTTTAAATGTTCGAACGGCACCCGATCCGACCCCCGCCTACCGCGGCCCGCCTGTATACAATGCCAAAACAATGTACCAGCTGTAAATGCGCTCCAGTACACCAGAGCATATAAATCAACGTTTTGATCTTATATGCTCTGAGTACACATCAGTTAAGCAGCGGGCGCAGTAGGGGCGAGTCGGGTGTTCGAACATTTAATTGTAATTTCACTTCGCGACTCAGCATATTATATTTCCTAATATATTGACGTAATCGCTGCATCAATAAAACTTCTGGCATCATATAATCATCAAATAAACCATCATAATATTCGGCAGAAGAGTATAGGCTCAAAAGATGATGTGTTTATCAGTATCATTAAGAAGTTTAGAAATGTAACTCAAATCCTTCGCGAGATATTAGAGTTAGCACGCTATCCTCACGGCGCATAGCCGCGCGTATATATTAGGCCTATGATGCGATACCCGTGCGTATCATTTTTGGTATTAATTAACTCATTTCGTAGCTTCAATCAACTCAAAATTTACAGAGAACGCATAGCTAAGAGAGCTGTTAGATGTATCTAAGCCTTTTAGAAATGTTAACTCAAAATCCTTTCGCGAGACATTAGAGTTAGTACACTATCCTAGCGGGCCATAACCGGCGCGTATATATATAGGCGCTATGAGCGATAACGTGCGTATATTTTTGGTAATTAATTAAACTTAAGTCGTGATTCAAAATAAACCTAAAATTCTACAGGGGATTATAGCTAAGATCATGTGGTTTATATGTATTCTAGATTTCTGATATGTTAGCTCAATTCGTTCGCGAGATATGCAGGAGTTAATATAATTCATGCTATAGTATATACCGCCGCTAATATATGCGGCCTATACTAGCCGCAAGGGTCGTATCGCTATCCCCGCGGGCGTGGAGGGAGGTCACGTGATAAGCGTTGACGATGAACGTTCAAAACGTTAACACTAACGTTAACCCTACCACTCAACACCGCCAACACTAACCTTCACAGCTAAAATAATATGTGTCGCCGCGCTTATATATAGGGGGGCAAGTGTTATCTCACAAAATTAATCTAATGGTGTGGGGACAAGATATGCATGATGCAGAAAACCCTAACCTACCCATAATCCTAACCCTAACTCCTAACCCTAATCTAACCTAACCCTAAATTCTAACCCTAACCTAAACGGCCTAACCTGAACGCGGTTTTTTTTAACGCGGCTAATCCTGACCCCTAACCCTAATCGCTAACTACTATTCTAACAACTAGTAGCTGCCACGTTGACGGTCACTCCCTCCACGCCCGCGGGGCGATTATTTTTTGCCGTACGGCAGTTGACGCGTCGCGGCTCGAGAAGAGCGTATTGGGAAATAGCTTGCGTCCAAGCAGCTCAAACCAGTCCCCCTCAAAAACACTATGTACTCGACTACTTAACAAAATAATGAAATATGTGTTTCACGGCCCTTCTATCGCTAGCAAAGACGCGTTTCTTGGAGCTAGTAGTGATACGCTTTCATACTTACGAGACACCAAGATGGGGCGGTGGAGGCGCGCCGATTTCGAAAATAACGCCCTTGGAAATAAATTCCATGATTTGATGAGTTGTAAGATGAGGCTAGAAAAACCTAACCTAAACCTGCTAACCAACCCTAACCACTAAATCCCTAACACTCAACCCTAAGCCGCTAAACGCATGCGCTTAACCTAGACCCTAAACCCTAACCGTAACCCAATATGCATTCCGATACGCAATAGCGAGCGTGACGCGTCAACGGTAATGGAAAAAATAATCGGCAGCCGGGGGATAGGCATGTACCCAATTTTGATGCACTAAGAATATGAAAATTGGTACTCGTTGTTTGTTGTGGGCGGCGTTTTACATCAATATGAGCCAGCATATGAGCATATGAGCATATGAGCCGATAGTCACGTGATCTCTGTGGTGAGAATGACGCGGCGTTTGTAACGAGACGCGTGATATGAGTAGCGTGCGTTAATCGTACGCTATGGTGCGTGATTACGTGCGTGATTTGTGCGTGATTAGTGATTACGCGCGTGATTAGTGCGTGATTAGTGCGTGATTAGTACGCTATGGTGCGTGATTAATGCGTGATTACGTGCGTGATTAGTGCGTGATTTGTGCGTGATTAGTACGTGATTGGTGTGGGATTAGTACGTGATTAGTGCGTGATCAGTTCGTGATTAGTGCGCGATTTGTGTGTGATTAGTACGTGATTAGCGCGTGATTAGTGCGTGATTAGTACGTGATTAGTGCGTGATTTGTGCGTGATTAGTACGTGATTGGTGTGGGATTAGTACGTGATTAGTGCGTGATTAGTACGTGATTGCTATGTGATCAGTTCGTGATTAGTGCGCGATTTGTGTGTGATTAGTACGTGATTAGCGCGTGATTAGTGCGTGATTAGTACGTGATTAGCGCGTGATTGGTGCGAGATTAGTGCGTGATTGGTGCGTGGTTATAGCGAGTGATTGTGGTATATGATTAGGTGACGCTCCTCCTACCCGGATCAACGTAAGGTCCCGTGGGGTTATCGGCAGGCTTCAATTGCCGGCCATGCAGTCAGTACGCAAATTTTTCGTAAATATACAAAATATATATACAACAGTCAGTATGAAAATGTTAGCCTCAATTTACATGTATCTTGTCAATAAGCTTGCTCACTGCATGTCAATTAACATGCGTTCTTTAAAAAACTCATACTATTATGTACTATAGACATAATAATATATAACGGGATATATAGAGATCAGGAGTAAATAATAAGAAGTAATACTGATCGAGATTATTCTCCATATTGCACGCGTGGCGCAGCACCCACATAAACGCGTCTGGCGAGAGTAGCTAGTATAGGCGTGCATAGGAGTTG